CAACATCTGCCTCCCACCATCATACACACCATGCCTTTATAGCATCAACCGAGTTTCAGACACTTCCCATCACAAGTTTTCCCACATATCAAAATGACATCTATGCACTTCCAGTTAGGAACCTGCTCAAACATCCCAAAGCTGCCATCCTCTTACAGCAGTTACAAAGTTGGTCATTAATGTATGGCAGACAGAACTGTAGCTCAAAAAAAAAAAAAAAAAGCTAAGAACAACTGCTGCAATTCTGCACCTAAGTGACGGGGAATATAGTTAAACATCTATATCAAGTCATCTGTGGTTGGCTACACTTATATTTAGACATCTTTACCAAGCCACTATATTAGTATATTACATTTTTCTGCACACTGCAGCAGGATGACAGCGTTCTTCATACTTAATTGCCTTCCCACCACATAACAAAGGAGAAAATGCCAGGTCCCAGGCTTAGCGTATCTGTCATTGCGTTGCTAGGAGTTTTCAACATAGTTTAACAGTTGGCTGCATCAGGGATTTAGTTCTGGGAATTATTTTGTCAGATATTATTTCAGGACCAGAGCTACATTCTTGAAATGTGCCAATTTATCCCCACATTGATCACGCCACTCAGTCCACCACTGGGGTCTGTAAAGCCTTCTTCAAGCAGCTTTGGAAAAGGGAATGCTTGCAGTAAAACACTGCAGACGTGAGCATGGTGAAGCCAGTTTTACCAGCTTGTATTTGCATTCAGTTTACACATGACTGTTTTAGCTAACAGCAGTGATGTAAAGAAGGTTCTGCCATCACTGAAATTGATCAATTACAGTAATTAAAAGTAGATTATACTTAAAATTCCATGCCTTACTATGTCCTGCTCAGATCACTGAATTCTAAAGGCCACTGGGTCATGTAGTCTTACATTATTAAACAAGAGACACAGAATTTCAGAGCTTTATCTCGTTTAAATGCCTGCTTCCACTTTCAGCCAGTAGTTCACGAAAATTAATTGTTGCAGAAAAGATGGTCTTGTATACAGCTCATTTGAAAACTATCTGTTTGGCTATCCCAGCATCCCACTCCACTCTTTGCAGTTCTTGCCAAGTCATTCTAGAGCCACACCTTTGGCAGAATTGAGCTAAATCTTCAAGATCTCCTTTTGTTACGATCTCAGAAATTCATGAAACTAGGTGAAAACTGGCAGGAAAAAAAAAAAAAACTGAGCACATGAAGTGCACCAGGATCTTCCAAACATCCAAATGGGTACTTTGAGGAGGTAGATTGCCTACAAAAGCTCATCCACCCACCTAGTCTTGAGGCTGTACTCTGTACTAAATTTCAGAAGCTCAAACGCAGCTCTCAATAGCAGCATGATGAAGAGCTCTTATCTGAGCGTGGGCACCTGGGGTGTTTCCAGCTGCAGGGAATTCTCTCATTTGCAAGGCTCCAAACATCTCCAAAATACCCCATGTTCCTTTGAAAATAAATCCACACATCTGCTCCCAAAAGGAACTATAGCATGGCTTGACCAAGCTATCTGAACAAGCAAAAGGACCGGTGTCATTGGGCACATTGTAAATCCATCTGCTGCAGATTCAGCCCAACACTCCATGCAATGGGATTAGACTTCACATTTCTACAAGCTTTTAATCAACCTACTAACAATAGGAATTACACATGACCAAAATCTTTGGGTCTGCATGGAACTCGCAACAAGAACAAAAAATACAGCCCAGTTTCAGGGGTTCTGAGTTCACACATCCCATTTTGGTTTACACCTAGAAAACTAGCTGGGTTTCTCACCCTGTTTAGTACTGTCCCTTCTTACACTGCTACGTATGAATGATTTTCTGTATGGCTTTGCTTTAGCCAGAATGTATTTCAGTGCAAGTAATATTTCCCAATTAGAAAAGATGCCATGCATGAGGTTTCTGGGACAATCTCATCCTACCAATTTTCTTAAATAAGGCAAGTATTCCACTAAGGATGCCACTTTCCTCTCTCCCACATTATTTTTCTTCAAACTATTTTACCTTGTTTTTCTACCCTCTCAATACCGTTTAGCCACTTAATTCCTCATCCATCACATCAATTTAGATCACTCTGAGCTGTGCAAGGCATCTCTCTCTCATTACCTTGCCTTTTCCCCACATTCTCATAAATCCCTGAGAGCAGAATGTAACAGCCTGGCTCCAGGAATGGGAACCTACACCTCTAAATCCGCATCAAATCAACTTAATTCCCCCAATTCTCAATTTGTGTTTCATAATCCTTTTCATCACATCCAGGTGGATGTGGACTGAAGCTCTACGTCCACTCAACAGCAAAACAACTTTGATTTACAGTCATGCTTTTTCAGGTTGGAATATCACAAGACTGCAGCTATGCCACAGTGTTTGTAATGAAAAAGGCACTGTTCCTACTCTGGCCAAGGTCGTATTTGTATTTTGGTGAGGTACTGGAACAGGCTGCCCAGGGAGACGATACAGTCACTATCTCTGGACATTTTCAAGAACAGGTAGATAACGCACTAAGTAACGTGGTCTGGAGCAGTTACTTATTAATTATAACTTCATAAAACACCATCAAATGCATACAACATTTTGTTAATGACTCAGCCTCTGCATAAGAAACTTCCAAGCACCTATAAGAGCAGAGGCTAGCAAACACATACCCTGAAGTAGAAGGCACTGAAATGGCAGCTTGTATTTTATTATGCCTGGGCTAAAACCAAATCCACATGCACTGAACACAGAGCCACAAACCTCACCCTCCTTGCCACATTATTCCTTATGCATCCCAGACCTGCTCATGGGGAGGAGAAGAAGCTGCCTGCACTGCACTCCCACCCACCTACAGAATCCTTTAGTAACTAATAAAAGCACTTTTGATGTCTTATGTGAAAAAACCAGCAGTGGCTGGAGCTGGGACACACAAGGGGAGCAAATCTGGAAAGGAATCCTTCACTCTGCTGGCTTTCAGGGCAATTCACTCTGATTTGCATCCGCATCAAGAATCCAAAGAGCAACAGCATCTTTACAACTAAGCTTCAATTTCCTACCAACTTCTCTGGAAATGCAACAACCACAGAATTTAATGCTAAAGAGAAATTCCTTTACCCAACATACAGCATCAAGATAAAGAGCAAAAATCTACCAGAAAGAAGAGCTAGAAGATCTTACCCCTCTTCCACTCGCCTTAAGGAAGAAACACTCACTTTCTAATGAGAAACACTCTCCTTTCAATCAATCAGGATATTTCTTCCAAATTAAGGTTATCGATTTACTTCTTTTTTGAAGTAGTGTTCAAGCACATTGCTGCAGGGCGAAGAATTTAAGTCCCAGAGAAGAAAACATTGAAAAAGAATGTTAAATGTGAAATGAATATGAAGTGCAGAGTAACTGGAGCCACACAGAACACACCAACCAGCTTAAAGGACGTACACATCACGAACAAAGACATATGATCAGAGAAAAGGGAAAATGCAGACCCAGGGAGGAAGACTGCCTGTTTACATACCTGTTTTCAAAATCAGTTCTTTGCAGGTGACAGAGAAAACATGGGTTGGAAAGGGTTTGAAATTAAGTACAGGAGTACTTACACCCAAGGGTCTGCTGGAGGGTCTGTAATGCATTATTTCACAAGACAGAAATGCTGCCACTGGTTCTCTTGTTAAAAAGGAGCTGGTATTGCATTTGTCTGAAGGTAAATCATATCATGAACTGCAGTGATCCTAGAGCTGCTACCTTTTTACTGTTACTACATTTTAGTTAAAGTTTGCCACTGTAAGTGTGCCTCACTTATAAAGCACTGTGCCAACAATTCTTTGCTGTCATAAGCACTGCAGATGGTTTACCTCCCATGTATACATTAGAGAAAGAGCTTAAGCTCTTAAGTTGTTTAAATCTGTATGGCTTGGGCACAGAAACTTTCTGTTTGTTTTACATATTAAAACATAAAAATCTGAAAGCAACACTGAATTTTTATAAAAATCCAACTCCTCTTTTCTGAAACTGTTCTGGTAAAAAGCTGTGTATTTACAACCTTGATAATGCCACCTCCTTACACAGCCTGACTGTACAACCTGATTCCAGACGGGCAGCCTTCATACAATCTTGAATTTAAGCACTAAGTATTATCACTTCTGTCATATTCTCTATAAATAAAATGGAACAATGTCAGAAGAAGATACACAGACCAGAGACAGGGATGGAATTTTAAGGGCACCACGAAAGTCTGCATTCAACAATATAAACTGGGATTTCTTAAAGTGAGGATACATAACTGCAGATTTTTTTTAGGAATTGAAAAAACAAAGTATTCTAAGAAAAAAAAAGTGTTAAAATGTCTCAAAAAAAACAAACAGCCTTTTTCATCTGCTTATGGTCCTAAAGATAAAAGGCTCTAGAGAAAAATTAAAACACATCCTAATGCCATTATAGTTGCATTTTAATAATGAATTTTCTCTGCATTGACTTGTGCCTGTATTATTTGTCCTAGTTATTCCTTGTTCTCTCTGTTATCTTAGGCTTCAAGCTCGACTTACTAAACGTTAATACATTCAGCAGTTAAAAAGCATTAATTCAGTGTCCCTTTAAGATACGTATGTTCTCTCTCCTCAAACAGTTTCTAAAATTCCAGCACTAAGTTAAGAAATGTTTTTAATAAAAGGGAGATAAACTTCCTTCTCAATCAGTCATTGAAAAACACAACACAAGAAAAAGAAAATTACAGTATTGTCTGCAGGATTTTAAAAATGCTCACTCAGAGGCATTTGCCTCTCAGTTTCAGCCACAGCAGAAACAGAATTTTGATTATTTACATAAAGCTGCGTTAGGCTGTCCTGCAACAGATGAGGAACTCATAATGCAAGCTCTGGGTCTGATCTGAAATGGGAGGCCTAATGCCATTCCTGCATGTTTGCACAGGCCTATGTTGCCTGTTACTGCTGCCAGACAGAGAGAAGCAGACCCCTAAATTAATTCCTAATTAAAACACTTATTTAGTGGTGGACTACAACAGCTTACCTCATCCACATTCTCAAAGGCATTGATGATGTCATACGGTAAACAGGACAGAAGATCAATCACAAACCACGTCTTCAGGTAGTTCATCCTTATGAGTTTGGGATCAGATATAACCTCTCCGCCAGGGCCAACAAAGGTTGTATGAAAGTTCAAAACAATGTCAACCAGAAAAATAACATCCACGACACTGTCCAGCACAAGCCAGGCAATGTTGTTCTGCTTCGTCTTGAAGGAGACGTTATATGGAACCATAATTGCTGTGTAGAAGGTTAGAATCAAGATGACCCAGTCCCAAGTGGTCTTAAAAGCACAATAATGTAGTATAATGTGCGGTGGAGTCTTTGGAGCTTCTTGCTTGTACTGAGGAAGAATATCAGATCCCAGCTGGAGAACCTGTAAGAGGAGGAAAAAAACACAAAAACGCTACTGTTTTCAATTAACGTGATCCAATTAGGGATTTCACAGATTTCTGTAAGGAGAAGCACAAAGACAGGACTGTATTCATTGGACATTCCAAGACAACCCACAGTTTCTACATTATTTGATTTATTTAGCCAGCAAGCATGTTGGTGCATAAGTCACATTAAGAAAGAGCAGAGATAGCTATAAGGAGGGCACACGAGGATAACCTTGCATAAAGGCAGGTCTCTGCAGATGTACTCATGGGAAACCAAGCCTATAGCAAGGGCAGAGAAGCTCTATGCCAACAGGTCATGGGTACCACTGCATGGGCTCATGCCCTGCAGTTACAAACGTGAAGTATTCATTCACACTTGGAAGTTTAACAAGATTAATCCTTCATATCTGGTCTCTGTTTTAAACCACTGTTCAGCAACAGCAATGCCCTATCTAGCCACACATCAGCCTTGCAGGCTGACCTCTTTCTAAAATAACACACACAACTTCTGCCCTAACTCCGTGGTAATACCATGCCTCCTGTCTGTTTTCTTCAAAAAGTTGTTGCCTTTACAAGCTCAATAACACCAGTGGGTTCTCTTTTATTTCTTGTAATTACTTCTCTTTTTTTTTTTTTTTCCATGTGACTATAACCACCTCCGTGCTCATTTTTGTAAATTGTGGCACTCGAAACACTGCAAAGGAACCAAGCCGAATTCAGTCAAGACATTCTTCTCAGCTGATCTAATTACTTCTTATCTCAGTCCAACACAAAGGAACATACAGCATGGTAATATACTGTGCTGACAACTGAAAGATTCATGTGTATTTTGGAACTAATCACACCTTTTCACTTTGGGGGGGCCTCTAGTATGCATAGGATAAAATAAGCAATTCCAGCAATCTTAAACTCATTTCAGCTCTGTGACTGCCCCATACTAATCCACCATATTTGCAGGACAGTTAGATTGCAAATAGCAGCCTCATATGCGTAAAAGCAATCAAATGCAGAATGGGCGCTCAGTGAAGAGGAGTGAATGGTTCTGAATAAATAGCACAACTAAGAATACGAACTGCAGCGTTCCAGATACAGATTCTCCATTAATTCTTTACAGCATTATTTTTAAGACGAAAAAAATTGTTACTGAGATCAGCAAGCGAAAACCTGGCTCGACTGAAAAACCTCTTCTCCAGAAATCACTAAGGGACAACAGCAGCAGCCTCTCTCGCTCTGTGGAGGATGGTGTGGTTTCCCAATATGTCTGATCTGGCTCAGTGTCATTCGGTAAGCTGGGATGCAAACCTCCCTGTGCCTACCTGTTCCCACCCTTCCTTAATGTCAGATTTAGCAGTCATATCATTTAAGGAAAATGAGCTAAGCTGATATAATGAAAAATTAACTTCCTGTTACACTAGCGACCCATTTGTTTTCTACAGAATTAGCCAAAATTGAACAAATCTATCCTGTGGTCAGAAAACCACCAGACATAAAACATGGGAAGCGGCAAGAGTGCAGCAGAGACCTCCAGGAGACCACAACTGCCCCTCTGCCATCAGCTCGGATGTAACACAAAGACATGCGCTGAGCTCCAGCCAACCAACAATGCAATGCCAAGCAGCCCAGATCCAGAAGGGCTCACCAGAGACCCTTACAGACACCAAGCCCCTCGAGAGACCCACAAACATATCAACCTCCAGGTGCTCTTTCCCAGTGTGCAATTCAAAACTCACATGCAGCACTCCTGTATCTAACCCAACAGGCATGGGGAACTCACTCGTGGATCCATGCATCCTTGCTCAGGCAAAAGCAATGCATTTCCCCAACACACTCAACCAGTGCTCTTTTCTCTTCCCATGAAACTTTCTTCAATGCCAAAATGCCAAAACACCATTTTGGCTTTGACTCAAACTGAAGATTATCTCTAGTTATATCCTCTTTCTGGCCTCACCTGCGGACAAGATTTTCACACTTCACTATCACAATACATCAGGACAGGGACTACTTTCCATGGTTTCTCCAGATCTGTTTGTTTCCTGTCTCATTCAGTGAGGCAGGAGTTGGAAACAGTAACTCACTATAAATTGAATAATAATTTTCCTTGGGCTCAAGATGAATGTGATGAACATATGCTTGATAGTTCCCTATGCCTCTGGTGGTAGAGTGCTTAGAAGATCCCATGGTACAATAAAGGCATAATTATTATTCCTAGCATAATAGCATGCTGATTTTGACATGGTGTGTGGGTGGCAAGTGGCTGAGGAGACTACTGAACTATAATGATTATTTATTTCATGCTGTGTGAATTTTTAATTTTAAACCACTAAAGAATATACAGTGTCTTGTTAGTCAACTCCATTCATCACAGACTCTCAATGGTTCTTGCTTACAACTAATATGACTGATAAGAGGCAAAGCCTACCGGGTGGCAGAAGGTGGGCAGTACCTTCTGCCAGGGGTGAGCTGTGAGGAAAATGCACCTCCTCAGATACAGAAGTATGGGAAATGGTGCCTGAACAGCGATGGCACACCTCTACCTGGGAAAAGCAACCCACCCTGCATTCCTGGCACACTTTGCCTCTAAAGCATTCTGAAGCTGCAAAATCTTGTAAGAGAGGAGACTGTGCACTCCCCCCCAAACCTATTCCCACGAACAACCTTCACCTTCACTTGAGCTTTTCCTGTTGCACGTCCTAAATCCCCTGTTGCAACTTCAATTAGTTTTTCCACTAGCTACAGTGGGTATGGTGAACCATTTCCTGTTCCACGCAACTGCTTTAGACATGTTTGAATATAGCTACCATACCTTCTCCAATCTTTTTCCAGACAAAAGCACTCATAAATATAACCAGATTTACAGAACTTGGAAATGTCATCAATTAGAAAAACAAGTGAGAATCATTCAGCAGTCAGCAAAGCTACTGGTATGGGATAATTCTTGAAAAACATCATGCTGCCAGCACCTTGAAAATTGTAGGCTTCTATTCTGATTTCATTCCACGTAAAGCTTGTGATATACAAGTCCACTTAGACAAGAAAGGAAAAACAAAACAACAACAATGAAAAAAGCATTTAAAACTGCTGCGAATTCTTAGCATCAAACTGAGGACAATCTCTCAGGCATAAGGGGGATAGGGCTGTCATATTTAGTAGCCCATATATTTTGACCACATTTTTTACCCATATAATTTTCATTACCAATGACATGAAGATGAAAGCAGTACCTCTGTTTCATCAGTTAACCTGAAGGCTTTCACTTGTTGCACCATCTGCACTGTTAAGGAGATGTTTGCAACCTGCCAAAGAGTTCATTTCATCAGTTCTGAAGAAGAAAATTATTAGCAAAATACTTCAGGAATGACTTTTTCAAGAAAGTTGAGCTTAAAGGTATATGTACAGTCAGTGTGCCTGTACAACCCCATGGATCTAGGCAGGGATGCTTCCAAAGAAGAGTACCTGGCTTCTTGAACAACCCCACTCGCCCAGAAGTGGGCACTCACAATGGTTTCTGACCCTTCATGGCGCTCAGAAACACAGAGTCTGGTTCCATGCTGCTGTGAGACAGCAAGTCGAAGACCAAACTGCACCCCAAGCTAAGCAGCAATCAGCAAACTTGGAGCTACGTTCAGAAATTAGACCTTGTAAGAGTAACCAAGAGATTGTTTCCATGATTGTCCCCCTCTACTCTGCCCTCATGAAGCCCCCGTCTGGAATACTGCATCCAGACCTAGGGTCCCCAGCATAAGAAGGATGCAGAGCTGTTGGAGTGTGACCAGAGAAAGACTATGAAGATGATCAGAGGACTGGAGCACCTCTTCAGTGAAGAAAGGCCAAGGGAGCTGGGCTCATTCAGGTTGGAGAAGAGAAGGCTCCAGGGAGACCTCATTGTGGTCTTCTTGTACCTAAACAGGTCTTATATACAGGAGGGAGACCGACTTGCTACGTAGTCTGGAAGTGAAAGGAAAATGAGGAACCATTTTAAACTGAAAGAGGGGAGATACATACATTTGGAGGAGACTGTTTACTCACAGGGCAGTGAGGCCCTGGCAGTGCAGCCCACAGAGATGTGGGCACCCCATCCCTGGAGGTGCCCAGTGCCAGGCTGGATGAGGTCCTGGGCAGCGTGAGCTGGTGGAAGGCAACCAACCCACAGAAGGGGACTGGGTGGCTTTAATGCCTATTCTAGCCCAAGCCATCAGATGACTGAAAGAGCATGACTTGTCCTGGAAATATACACTTGGCACACAGTGCTTATTAAGGAAGAGGATAGCAGAGGCTGAAAAATCAAAATCTGGAAACATCACCCTAAAAATATTATTTATTAACAGAAACGTTGTTCCTCCTCCCTCTCCCATCTCTTCCTGCCTGAAGAAGGAATGTGTCTGTCCCACTTACTTCAGCCAGGCGGGAATGCTTGTGCACCACCTCAGCTTTGTTCATCGGCGTCAGCTGCTGCAGCACGCTCCGGCTGTTCGTCAGGGCCCGCGTCAACCGTGCAAACTTCGTCCAGCCTGCAGGGAAGAAAAAAATACGGTCACAAGCACTTACACCCCATTCAACATGAGTAAATCTCCTATGCGTTCACTGATATTAAGTCTCAGACTTGGGTAGTTTCTCTAAATTGCTGCACAGAGCAAGTTCTGGCTCCAGGCTCCACAACGTTGCAGAAGAGCAAGAATACCACTGCTTCAAGGCAAACATAAGTAAACCTGAGTAAAATCAAAATGCTCTGGCTTGTTCTCTCTTCTAGCTTTTGGAGACACTGTGATAGAGGAATCGCACTGCGCTTTCAGCCTTCTGGGGAGTTACTCGGTTGCTACAAACTAATTATTAAGCACTGAATTTACCACATCTGTAAACCCTGCAGAAGTGAAATCCTCCCCAGCCACCAACTGGTGCATTCCTCCAGCCAGAAGCTGGATCCTTAAGTTGTTACTGCTCCTTGATCTGATTATTGATACAATTCAGGGACATAATAAATAAATAATTAAAAAAAAAAAATCAGCCAAATCCAGGGGTGCATGTTTCAAAGTAGAAAAACTGTAAGACTTTACGGACAGATGAAGCGCTAGATTTTAAATTGCACTAAGCAATACATTTAGCTGTTAAACTAATGATAAACAGCTGCTCTAATGGTCGCTTGAGACCTTCACACTGGGGAACGTTTTTCTGCAGAGTTCAGAAAGGAGCAATCGGTGTTTAGAAGTGACAGCAGCGCAGAGCCAGGAGCGTGCCACTAAGTCACTGCTTTTGGACAAATGCCCGTATGTGACAGCTGGCACAGGTGCGTCATTGGATGAGGCAGAGCAACGGGAGCAAAGGAAAAGCGAGGGGGTTCAACAGCACAGCACTGCAGCGTTAAGCAGGAAAACTGAAAATTCAGATGTCTGCAGGAATGAAACACCTCCCCATGAGCAAAGGAGTTTTTAGTTTGTGTCTTTAATCCTGTTTTGATATAATGTTATTTTGAAGTGGTTTTACCAACACTTGTGCAACGCTCAGTTCAGCCAGGCATAACCTGCTATCTTACCTCAAAAGCGTGCATAAAATATCAAACATGTTATGGATAGGAAATGGTTTTGGTGAAAGCTATATTTTTACTTAACTTGAATGCTGAGCAGGTGAAAATTAGAGAGAGTGTCAGATATGAGAAAGGAAACACAATATTTCTATACTAGCTTGGTTTATGCTTAAATGCCTCTTCTGACAGCAGTCTAGGGCTGGCAATGATAGGAGATGGTCTCTGGTACTAACTTGCATCCCTTTCCTATGACGCACCACAAAAATCTGTGTTCTCAAAATATCTCTCCTCTTACAAAAGCAAAACTACTAAGAAATCCCTGGTCATCATCTTATATAAGAAAAAAACACCACATGTTCAGAAAGCCTGGGAAGGTCTCCCACAGACACCACGACGAGTTGGGGAAGCTATATAATACAGGTACCAAATGACAGGGACCCTTCAACTGTAAAAAATAAAAAGCATGGAAGAACGTTGTCTTTCTCAAGTATTTCTTTTCCACCTCGATGAAATCATCATTGTCATGAGAATGAAGAAAGCCACACATTTTAGCATACAAGTTTACTATTCTGCTCATTTGGCCTGATCTCTTCTTTTGAAGGTGTAAAGTATTTCATAGTGTCTTTTCTCCACCAAGACCAAAGCTCTGTGTTGGGCTACAGAAGAGTTTTCACAAAAACCCTTCCAACCTCATTTGGAGACTCCACATTTTTATATTTCTTTCTGTTCCATGAGAGCCACGACTCTGGAGATTAGAAGCAATAATACGCTAACATGACTTTTTTGTAACTCAGCACGAAGTCCATCATCGTTCTACACACTTCAACTTCTCTCTCTGCAAAAGCGTTAAAAAGCAGCAAGTTCCTTTGTTTCCTATTTACAGCCCAAGAGCAAAATACAGCGACAGAAAGATGCTAGGGTATGAGTAGGAAGGTGAAAATGTATACACACTGCCTTGCGTCTGAAATAATCGGTACAGGGTACATCTCTGTGTTCCTTGACCTTGAAATAAATTAGCTAAGTTCAGAATTATATTTAAAACCAATGTGTATGTTTAAATAGATCAGGTAACAATTTGCATAGCTGCCTACTGCTGTCAATGTTTCTTCAAATGATTCCTTCCTATCTTTTCCTCTAGAGACTGTTAAAATGAATGATAATTTTATCGCATATATTAGCGACTGCCTGTCCTCACTGATATTCTCAGTCTGCAAGGAGAAAAAGAGTGGCACAAACAAGTGCCGTAAGAAGGAGAAAAAAAAAAAACAAAAAAAACCACAACACTTCTGATTCTCTCTTCAACTCAACTGGATTGTGTCTTTCTTACATGGCTCCACTTGAAAAATAATACCCTGAACCTGCATCACTGTACTCAAATTCTTAGGAACAAAGGCAACATGGCACCAGATTATATCAGCAGCTGCTTCTCCTTGAAGGAAGCCAAGCTGGGTATTTCAGAGGAAGATGTAAACCACCCCAGACAGAAAATTCTGGAATAGCATACATAAAATAATTGTTTCACTTCGTTTTTATTGATTACTTTCTGATTCACTGACAAAAAGAGAACTTACAACCTGCTTTTAAGAAACCTCATGATTTGCATTCATTCTCGTGATTCAAAACAAGTGCTGATTCTCACACAGAAACCCTACTGGGTTACCTCACTGATGGTGCCCATTACTAAAATTGAAATTCTCACACTGCCAAGAAATCAAAGACGCAGGTTAGACAACAGTATTCACATTAAAACAGGACTTAAATAAGACAAGCATGCTGATAAACATCAACCAAACTAGGCTCTGCCTTGGCCAAGCTGTACGTTGTCCTTCCAAGCACATAACTTTCTTTCCTCTTCCATGGTTTCTGTCACAGTACAATGCTTTTTATCAGCAAAATATTCTTCAGGTCTCTTGCTCTAATTAGGATCACTGATTTGACAGTCCTTTGGAGCTAACTGCAGCAGGCATGGTTTGGTGGCACACCTGAAATAATGGCTGAGACAAAGATTTCTTAAAAGAAATTAATTTTCCTTTTTTCATCCTTAAAGAATTGATACGTCTTTCAAACTTGAGCCAATACAACATAAATTGAAGCTGTCAGCACTGTGTCAGGATGCTTGAGAGAACATAGGAACACAGAAGGGAAGTAGGCACTGGGTCAAGTGAAGCAGGCAGAGAACCCAAACACTTCCTGGACTTGGTGGAGAACAGCTTTCCAGATGTTTCAGGTTGCTCTCTCAACCACTCCGTAGGTGCATGAACTACTTGAGAACTGCTGCAGAGCTAAAGTGGGAAATAGCATTTCCAGTTTTCTTGTTAATGACTCCATATGCAGAGATGGCATCTTGTATATAAGTTTACCACACCAGAGTTTTTCCTACCACCCCTCAAGAGTCAGAAAGTCCAAGTTTAACTGAAACAACTAACTCATTATAGTAGGTTCCTTTTCAGCAGTTACTGCTCCAACAGAAGTATTATTATGCCCATACATCTTTATTCCTGAGACCTGAATCACTTGTGTTTTATATTGGACAGCCAGGATGGGAACAGCCCTGCTTTTCTAACAGCTCTACCACAAGCAGCACTAGACGTTTGCCCTGTGTTCACAGACCTTCTGTGAACTTCACTCTTGCACTGCCATAGGGACCTCTATCCCTGCCCTTCTGGTCACCATTCTTCTTCCCACTAATAGACCACAGAGCTGGATCTGACACAAACACTCTTGTCCATCTCCAACTTCAGTTAACTTCAGTTCCCATTTTATACTGCCCTCTCCGAGTCTGAAGAAAAGTCATCCAGGACAAAGATGCTGCTGTGGAATACAGCAGAGAATAAAAAGAGTAAAAGCTATCTAAAGAAAGCCCAATAAGGAGGCTTCCTCAAGCACCCAGTCCCAAAATGGGTGGCTCAAGATGAAGAAACAGTCTTCCTTTCAGGTGGTTTTCTTCAGAAGTGATGGAATACAATCACAGAATGGTTTGGGTTGGAAGGAACTTGCAAGATCTTCCTATACAGACCTCAGCCATCAATACACATGTCCATTGCCTTCAGAAATAATATTTACAAATATGAGTATCTGCAAGTGAGAAAACCTTTCCATTTCCCCTCCTACTGTAATTAGGAGTTCGTCGTATTTGCGTACAGGTTCAAATATGGATTCAGCCACCCATCTAACACATACACTGAAAAAATTGTTACAATCTCCAGTTCATAAACTATATTACATTATTTTAAAGCTAAATCCATACACCAGAGTTTATGAAGAGTTTAAAATCTCAAGGGAAGATATTAACATTGTTTATAGTGCACTTGCTTAGAAAAATCTAGGCATGACTATTTCCCCCCTAATAAAACATAAGCGTAGCTCTACTGGGTTTCAATTAACCTTTTAGTCAGGGTTTGCCTGATCTCAAAAGGAACAGAAATAATGAAGGCTTTTAAATCAGTGTTTCATGAAACTATCCAATACCTCAGACTACAGTGAGAACACCTGGGTTAACAATGATATTCTATGTAAAAAACAAAGAGTAATGACAGCAATGCTCATGTGGATTCCTGCCTGAAGGAGTGTTACAACTCCAGACCATGGAAAGGTCATTATTCACCCCTTGCTATGTAGCATGAAACACTTAACACACAGAGTGTTTAAATCATATATACCCATTGACTTATCCACAAAAGCAAGGAGCTAGCACCACTCATTTAGGTAGTTTGGATGTCAATTGATAATATGGCTCATCCTCGTGCATCAGAACTTAGCATCTACAAATCTCTATTATTTATAGACGTTCAGACAGCAAGGTCATTGCAATGGCTGGCTATTTGCTCTTTACTGCAGGTAAAATATGGCTGGAAGAGCTCACTCTCTCATCAGAAAACTTCGTCATCCTGCTGTTGCTTTGTTCAAGATAGAGAGATAAATGGGATTCCTGAATAAATAGAATAATAGTCAAACAAAGCTCAATCACTCCCATGATGCAGTAAAACTATT